ACTAAATGACATCAATATCATCCCAACCTAAGCGCTTATCACAAAAATAAATATTAGGAACACTAAGTCATTCGAGTTGTCCCAGTCAGTGACTTACGACTATATTTAACTTAAAGTTTTGATGGTGTCCCAGTGCCCCGGCCGTGCCAGCCGGCACAGAGCTCTACAGGAGGGGGAGGGATCGGCTTAGCGACCTCGGACCCCCCCTTCAAATAATCCTGGATCCTCCCCTGTTATACATTGTAGAAATATTGTTTATATATATTTATATGTCTTTTTTAAACGTGCCAAATGACAAATATACAGATCACCGGCCTTATGAGCCTACAAGTCACCATTAGGCACAGTTATCAAAACCATAAAAATCAAGGTTAAACGTTATAAATAGAACATTTACCTGACATTTGGTACCCACTTGTTGGATAAAGGCAATCATCTTTAGAGAGAAGAGGAGGCATGTGGCGGTATCGGTGGCGTATACAGGGGTCATACTGGACAGGAGTTACCAGTTTTCTTTTTAGCCCCCCCCCCCAAAAAAAAGGTATTACAAGCGATATACTGCGTACAAGTTGCAGAAGCGAAATGTGCGGTGCTATCTCACCTGTCCGTCAAATGTATTATATATCAGTATTCATGTTTTCAAAGGAGGTAATAAAATGTCTGTGCCCCTAAGCCATCCTCTAATAAAAACGGTGGATCTACAGGCCCGTAGCCAGCAATTTCAAAAGGGGGGTTCTTTTTCTGAAAAAGTTGACCTTTTTCCATAAAAACATCATGTACCTAGATCAAATTTGACCCAAAGTGGACCTTTTCCCAGCAAAAGGGGCGGTTCTTTCGAACCCCCCGAACCCCCCCTGGCTACGGGCCTGATCTGGAAGTAGGGTAGGGGCATAGAGGTGGGGGGGGGGGGGGGGCTACAGTATTTCGGCTCTGTCTGTCTGTTTACCTACATAGGACAGCTTAAAGACGGGAGGGGGGGGGACTAAATGACATCAATATCATCCCAACCTAAGCGCTTATCACAAAAATAAATATTAGGAACACTATGTCATTCGAGTTGTCCCAGTCAGTGACTTACGACTATATTTAACTTAAAGTTTTGATGATGTCCCGCTACCCCGTGCCAGCTGGCACAGAGCTCTACATATGACTCAGTCATTATCAGTGTTTGATGACGGGGAAAACTATACTTCTCTACAAGCTGTGTCAGATTATTGAAATAAGTACACCTATTCTAAGTTCATCTGTTTATAAATGATATCAGTCTGTAAATTTTCTTTTGTCACAAACTAATAACTATCAGTGTATGACAATGGGGAATCCTCATGCCGCTATCCAAAGTATACTCGGTACAGTAAATCCGCGAGATAAAACAATGGATACAGAGACAGTTACGCCACGATACAAAATGGTATTTCGATAGCAAATAGGTAACTGATCACTGATCACACTATGGAAACACAATATGTCCTACATATTCGGGCACTTTCATGACCAAACAAAATTTTATTAGATAGGTAAGGCCTATGTTGATTGCGCTGCAGTTCTTCCGCTGACCTGTTCGCTAGAGTGTTGAACCCAATGTAAACATGCAGGCCCGTAGCCAGGGGTGGAGGCGGGGGTTCGGGGGGTTCGAAAGAACCCCCCCCCCCATTTTGTTTGGAAGAAGTCCCCTCTGAGTAAAATTTCATCTAGATACAGGAAGGTTTCATGGTAACAGGACCAATTTTTCAGAAAAAAAAACCCTTTTGAAATTGCTGGCTACGAGACTGCCATGCATACTTTTGCACTTGTATTTTAACTTTGTAAAATAATGTATGCAGCCAGGTCTTGGTATCAGCAAAGTATCAGCCTGTTCTAGTACCAGTGATGGAGATTATTTTAAATAAGAAATCACTCGTCTGTATATCTGTAATGTCTTTTTTGTCCATAGAATTTATGTGTACTATGTGCTTCACACACGTAGGCCGTTGTGTCACACTTTAATGAAAGTCATTGCACAAATATTATTATTATTATTATTATTATTATTATTATTATTATTATTTATAGTCTTAAATCCATATAAAATGTTCAGTAGACTTACAGGGGACATATTAACAGAATAAGAGTAAGACCAGAGCTAATGGTCACGCGCACGATGGTCACATCTTGGGTCATCTCAAATCTTGACCAATTAGTCTCCATTTAAAGAAGACCCAATTACATGAATTATATCTTAGTAACATGCTGGTGAATGTGCTGCAAATACTCTGTTTATGATTCACGCCACACCAACCACTCTGTCAGAAAAAGAAAAAAATTAGATCCTTCTGCGGTATTCTTCTTGTACATGTAACAGACGATCAAACATATGAAGCTTAATCAATAAATCTGTCTGAAAATACCCCCAAAGGATGAAATTAATTCACACGCCGATGCAGTGAAGGGTATCTACTCAGCTGGAATACCAATGACATCGTTAACAAATGTAAGAAATCAGTTTTCTGTAAAGGCGCCTTAGTGGGAATTGCCAGAACAATGCAAAAGCAAAAAAAAATATCTATTATCTAATGGATTTACATGCATGTAGTTTCAGCCAGTTCGGCATACGATTACTTTGTAATACAAATCAAACCCAAGCAATCTGATTCTTTAGGGAAATCCCACTCAACCCCCCACAGTAACTATCTACAAATAAAGTCACATAATTTTTGCCTGAGCATCTCCAAAATGGACGTGGATTGATTCTGTTAATGCGTGTTTACTTGTAGAGTTATTTCGTGTTTACACTTAGTCTTGAGATGAAATAAGTTATGTTTGATATTGTAAAATGTAGGGCAAACACTTTAAAAAACCTAATGATACAGTTATCACCAATGGTGAATAATAAGTGTATATTGCTGGCCTGATATTCAAATCTCTCGCTGCCCGACCGTCTGTCAACAGGCAAACTCTGTTAGATAAATGTACAAAAGGACGGGGAACTCAGCGAAGGCACTCGAATTGAAAAAAAAAAAAATCATGTGGATTAACCGACGACACACCCTCAGTTTCACAGGGAAAAAATGACAGAAGCTACCTGATAACAGAGGCAACTTTCCAGCAATCTCTAAAACTAGGGGTATTTAATTCACGTCTCCCAGGGTGTCTCTCCTACCCCCTATTGACATCGCATTTATTTTCTGATATCATAATTTAAGTGAATTGTGCTATATACATTGATCAAAGTAAGTTCAAAGTGGTTATTTTGATGCGGTTTGAAAACCGCTTTGGGTCTTTTATTTTTATTTTATTTCTTATTTTTTTATCATTATTTATTTGATCAGGGCCCCATCCTATGTAGTTAAATAGATAAATTTCTGTGACGGTACCCAATATATACAAATATAATACATAATATACAAGTATGAATATACATGTATAAGTATCGGCTCACCCCTATGGGCTTACAGAGTCACCAGTTTTACCATTAGCTATATAACAACTTCTTTCTGACCTGGAGGCAGTTCAAGAGAAACCTTGCTGTGCTTCTGTAAAAGTCTGGGAAGGGCACTCGAGGTCTCTCTTCAACCGTCTCCAGATCAGGAAAGATACAATCGCTCATTTTTCCCTTTTCATACCATTGTTGCCCGAGATTTTCATAAATTGAGCAATGAAATAAAAAAAAAAAATTATATTCATCTTCTACTTTTTGCTCATTGTCTGTTTTACTTTTTGTGCACCGCTGATATAAGCAAATCAATGTAACCCTAACGCTATTCTTACGTACACATACGTATGTATGAAAGTAACAGGACGCCTAATTTGTGCGTTAGGAACGCTGAAGTTGAATTTATAGGATTGTCTTAAACTGCCTTCGCTCATGTCAAAATACCTCTCCAATGATGACGCAATTATACATACTGTACAAACTCTCGCGTTATGAAAAAGAACATCAAAATGAACATCCACTAAAGTAGCCTTACCTTTTACAATAAGCCAGCGGACAGCTTTACTGCGGTGCCATTAGACCTCGTGACTGACGGTCCACACGGCGTCACGTTCCAAAGTTGAAAATCTCGGCCACAACCAAATCTCTCTGTGCCACTGCTGTTTATATAGCGTAATCTTCTTATTGATATAGCCTATAAATGTAAATGTATATAAATCAGCCGTTACCTGTGCTATATACTTCCTTGTGTAAGCATTGAGCAGTGTTTAGTGTAAGTTTAATTTTTCATCAGCTTTTACGTCCGTCCTATTTTCGGTCTTATATAACAGATTTTCTCTCGCTAAATCTTTTTCTGCTCAGTGTAATCTTGTTGTCGATAGAGAACTGGAACATCCACCACAAAAAATCCTTCCCTTAGAACAACCACAACATTCATACATGTATATTTAATATCTTTTGCTTTTAACCTTTATTTGGACAAAGCTGTTGTTCTTTTTAATTTGTTTCTCCCAATTTTCAAATCGATATCCTTATAAATAAATAATGAAAATATTGTTACAAAATCATCACAATTATCTTTTACTATATTGTTCTGCATTAAATTATCTAGCCTATTGCATGATAGGTAAATTGAGGTTGCAAAGTCCTGGAAGGCAAATCATGAGACGAATTTCCCTATGGATTTCAAAACAGTCAGCTGTCCCAGAGGACGACTATTCCCCCGATTTCCAATATCGGTGCTTTTTCCAACTGTTTACCGGATAGCAGTAGATTTTCGATATAACACGTTATTGCATCAATCTGACTACAAAGTCTATTCTCGAGTTTCAAAGCAGTATCTCAAATCCGCGCAATGATTGCGCCTCAGTTATGTCATATGCAGACAACCATACTGAGAAAATACAATTGTGCCCACGCTGCATCGACCAAACTCCTTAGACTCGATCAACGGCAGATTCAACTAATGCCAAAATTATATCTCCTTCCTTAAAGATTCTGAGGATGCCGCTCTTCACGTTAAGATTATATCGTCTGAAATTCTGTAATTTTAAATGTAATCATCCGGCGGCCGTTGTAACTGAGTTACATGTTTTTACTCTGTACAATAAATGAATTCTTATCCTGCTTTTATGACATCTCTATCCCGTCAAAGTCGTGCATTTTCACTGTACAAGTATGTGACTTTTCCAGGTCGGTAGCTTTCTGTCTTTATATAGGTATTCGCCACTAAATCCATTTGAATCCAGCGCTAATCTAGCAAATGTAAGGCCACCGTTATCGTAAATTAATGCTCTGAGAAAGGGACAACGTGACGCTAAATACAGCGCGCGAGAACCGCCCCCCCCCTCGATTTGCACCGCAGTGATATAAGTATCTTAGATCCGCTCGGGTCAGCGACAATTCCCGTAAAGGCACCGTAGGGCCTGTTTCAGCTTTATAGACTTATACACTGTTTTCTTTCTTCCGTCAGCTTACCACTAGGACTGAAGTAACTTACCTTCATTAAAAAACAGGTACAAAAACACTGAACGCAAGTCACATGCAGAAAAGATATATCTTCGTCCTCTTCTGTATAAACAAAGAGTGTTACAAGCGATCCTCTTGACTTGGAAGGAAAAGCGGCTAATTTCCACAGCTAATTGCAGACGCCCTCCCGGCTGACTACAAATACAGACACTATCATCGCGCGTCGTTATGAACGAGCTGTCATTAAATATCAATAAAGATACGAGGTCATAATTTCTGTACGAGGAAATGTACGTGTTGTACGCATAAAATCCAGTGCTCGTTTTAAATCAAGTTGGCTGTCCGATAAGCTGATCATGACGGACCTCAAAGACAGAGTCAATCCGAATATCGCTTTCCAGTCAAATATTAAGATGGAAATACCTGATAGGTGGTTCGTCACTTCAGAAAGATTCCTCCGGCTCTCACCCCTCCAGCCTTATTTACCTGTAAAAAGTGTCGAGTGTGATGTTATGTGAAATGCGGCATGAGATTAGATTCGTTCATTATTTTACTGTGCCACTCGTTGTTGATGTACATGTATACAGTATAGACAACTGCCGAGTTGAAGCAAAAGACAAATTATGTCAATGCACACTTTCTTTTTCAAAATTTTCAGTAAAGATGGTTTGCTTTTTACTTCCTTGTGTAAGCATCAGTGTTTAGTGTAAGTTTAATTTTTCATCAGCTTTTACGATAGCGATATGCGATCTTGCGTTCTATAAATAAATTTTAGGGGTTTTGGATTGCGTGATGTAAATGCTTCAGCATACAAACGAACACTACATAACTTCGTGTCATTTTTACGCACCCGTATTCAGAATATTACTGTCAAAGTTGTGTGTGTGTGTGTGTGTGTGTGTGTTAAGGGGGTGGTGTGGAGGGAAGAGACACGGTTGGAAAAAATGTAGAATAATTGAAGATATGAATATAGCCATAGAAAGTTTACAAAATGTAAGAGTAGGCCAAAACCCCTGGTTTTCCCGTATATTAGACTATCGTGTGGATTCCAAGGGGGGGGGGGGGGTAGCTTGATGTGCGTTTGTGTGCCATTACCGTTTACATTTCGGGTGAGGTTAGGGGTGATTCTCCCTTGGCTTGATCTTGATGCTACATCAGTTTATCTCTGCGCCGATAGATGCCTCTGCAGGTCGCTAGCTGAGAGGTAAAGCTGTAGGTAAATAGATTTAGATAAACGGTTTTGATAACAAGTAACAGATGGCCAAAATGCTAATAAAGTGCTGACATGTGCGGAATTTCGATGTGTTTTGACCCAAAACGTATTACCAGATATATTGCCCGTCCCTATAAGTCATACACATGCACAAGCACATACACGCATGCCCCCCCCCAAAAAAAAAAATAAAAAAATAAAAAAATAAAAAAATTCAAGCGCTCGCGTTCTCTTTATCATCCAAACGCTGTAGGCCATTCACATGAGGCTGTTTCACAAGCCCCGTCCCCTACAGCGTGTCACCTATACGAGGACCACTTAAAACTCTAGTGTTTGATGATCAGTCTCGAATTGTATGAGTGTCTGTATTTGAACGAGCTAGTGTAACCACTAAAGTATGTGACTCTGCATAATTCTTCACGATTCTGCCACCGTTACGTGGTTCAATATGTCATAAGTGATATTATTTTTAGTAGAACGGTTTGTGCATTATTTACAAATAGGCACTATCAGTTTGATTCCATAAACACACTAATGACGTATTTATTGACTGAGGGTCATTTATTTCTATTGATAAGGTAATCAAACATTTAGGATTAGGGTCAAGTAATGATATCGGTCACCTACCGATACCCTGAATCCTGGCGGTGTTTTTATCGTGGCACCCTGTGCCTGCTATATGGAATGGGCCCTTCGATAACATGTGACACTCAGGATACGTGCACCATGCGGCACTTGGAGCATATAGACTTGAGTTTAAGGAACCATTCCCACAGATATTTGGATCTATCTATCTCCCTGGGGATTCTCTCTAAATTGTTATCTACTTAACCGGCGTAGATGTCTGTCACGCCTAGTAAAGCTGTTAGGGGGTAATCATCTTTAAAAATTTCGGCAACTAAATGCATATACATTTGTTTCTGTTGAGGTCGCGTCTCTTAGTCGTGCATGTTTTAATAACTGCGTTTGATATATTTTTAGTTTAATGCTTTGAATCATTACCATTTTTTAACTTAATCACTGTTATAAATAAATTGCATGGTAATGAACTAAGAAAACTGTTTATAGATTCAAGCACCGGTGAACATAAAAAGTATCTCAATCCAGCTCATATCTCGTCTGATATACATACAAAATATGTTTTTATTTCGACCATTCACAACATGACGAAGTTCAATAATATGCATGTAGTTGAAGTTAACTAAAGATAGTATTCATGATATATGGCAAAGTGATTCTTGCGTAGCGTGTGTAAAAAACTTAGTATTGCCAAAGCCATACATTTATTGCAGTTGCAGTGTAGGGATAAACAGGAGGCATAACTGTAATGCAACAGTTGTTCTGCTGGCACAGCTACCGCATTCAACCAATTTTAAAGTCGGGAAGGGGAGGGGGAATCCCCCTTAACGTAGTATTGAAAAAAGGCCACACTGAGTTAATTTCATGGATGGAATTCGCACGCACATATTAATTTCTCGGCTTGTGCTCAAAAAATAAAAAAATAAAAATCTCTTGAAACTTCGGAATAGACTGCTGTCACCGTCTGTGCCGAATCAAAATGCCTCAAAAGCCCGGAAAAACTCATTTATCTTCTACTGCTAAATTTGCCGTAAAACGTAAGGCGACGACCGTGTCTTAGTCATCATAATTGCACGCACAAAAGTTCATAATTGATTGTAGCTTGGTATACAATCAACGATGGCGAATGGGATATTACATTTGCTCTACTATACAAAAATTTGGCGGCGGCGAGCGACTATCCATAAAATCCGTAACAATAAATCAGTGTGACCATAGTAAGAAACTTAGAAAAAAAAAATGAAAATTAGAAAAATGAATGTTGCCCGAGCTTATTTTGAAAATCGAGAATAAAAGTAAAATAAAGCAATGAGCATGAAGCCCTTTTTTCTGATACATTTTTGCACGAAAATTCTTATTTGTCATTGGCAAGATGAAAGAAATAAACAGAAACAGGGCATACATTTCTAACAAGCCTTTTTATCAAATCATAGTTTAAGAAAATAAAGATAATACAGAGCTCTTTAAATATTTACTCATGACCCTTTTTTACTTTATCGATTTGTGAAATTTTATCCGGGACAACGTGATCCTTTGTTCGTCGAATACGAAACAGAAACCGAAACACGCGTTGTTGTGACCAAATACTATTTAACCTGAGAAACGTTCTACAGGACAGAACAAGGTGCATTTGGACATTTTGCTACAGCTGTGCTCTACTATTATTGTAGTCATGGAATACAAACAGGAAAAAGCAATGGGAGAACTTAAATCAAGGATTTCGTCCGAGTATCTGCGCCGCACACACGTGAGTATCATGACTGAATTTTCTTTACAAACCATAATGTGCCTTTAACACACGGCAATAGACTTAATTAAACGAAATTGAGATATCTTTAACATAAATATTTTTTTCTCGTATGAACAACTTATGTAAGTGACAAGAACTGGTGTTGAACGAGGAACAACGGACCTATAGTACAGGTAAATGCTCTGTACAGGCATACTATGATTTCGTATCTTTTTGTCTCGTTCTCTAATTTGTGACAACCATTTGACGCGAGGTCCTGAATAACGCAAAAAAGTAACTTGATTTCACGTTTGTGTAATTTTTTATTCTTCAAAGCACTGCAATTTCTTCAATCACATAGTATACGTACACACACTGGACAATAGAAGTGTCACCCCTAATGAACCAATACTTTGGGGGAGATAAATGACTGTGGAATGATATGCTCCTGGTATCATTTTATTAACATCTAATTTCACGGGGTGACACTTCTATTGTCCAGTGTATGTATATCTTCATATCATACATAGTAAAAACACACACACACACAAAAACAGTTGTTCGTCAAGTAAAGGCGCAAGTCAATCAACCAATCAGATGCATTACATGTTTTTTAATTCGAATATTAATGGATGATTAATGTTGACAGTTCTAAATATTATTTGGGAAGGTGACAACTAAGGCATTAACTCAAGTGCAAACTGAAACATTAAAAGCATATATTTGAATATAAGTTGCAGTTTGTTCGTTAAAATATTTTTTCACTCCAAAACACCCGTTCAAAGTGAAACTCGTTGTCATTTCATGCTTTACCCAAGTGTAAGATTTTGAACACACGTTAAGTACTTTACCTACTTCTTGTTGAACTCATCGGAGGACAAATAATACCTTTTGTTCATATGTTAACGGACAGGTGCCACAAGTTAAAGGGATAATATCTCTTCGTATGAGATCAATATTTCACAATAAAAACATTCTAAACAACTCATACAAATATAAAATATTCTGTTTTACCTTAACAACGGTAGTTATAGCTATTATTCTGACATCTGAGCTTGTCAACGGACCATGTGACCTCCATAAATGGCTATACTCTGTAATAATCTCTTAAGAGATTATAACAAAAAAAAAAAAAAAAAAAAAAAATTAAAAAAAAAAAAAAAAAAAAAAAAAAAAAAAAAAAAAAAAAAAANAAAAAAAACAGGGACTAACTTTGAACGAAGAAATGGATTCATTAACCATTGGTAAATATGGGAAAATTGTTTAGTCCAGAAAAATTCATTCTTTGGCCAAAACGAAGTTATTATCCCTTAAATGATGCAAAAAGTAATATACTGTCTCTTTAAGAGCCACGCCACCTGCCAGTTAACTTGACAGTTTTGAAACAGGCCAAACCTAGAAATTAGTTCTCTAAGTGATGGTGGAATTTAGGAATCTCGCGCTGAACTTAGGACAAGGACTCTTTAATTTTCCCACATTGTTAAGGAGATATTTTAAGTGTCAGGAAAGCATACATACTTCACTTTTCCTAAATTCAGCAGTTTAAATATGTTGATCGATGAAAGGCAATAATATATACAGTAGTAGTCCTAATTAAATTTCCTTGTAGGTGTGGCAACGGTGTGGCAACATAAACAACACGAAATGCACACTCAATAGCACACAAACGTACACAGAGCTTATTACATAGTACTGCTCATAGCTAAATTATCAACAAAAATTGGGGATACACTTTGTACACAAAATCTACAACAACTTCCACGAGACCTTCACATAGTTCATATACATGTACACTAGTAAAGTTGGGTTCATACTGATCTCTTTAGTGTTTAGTCTTAGGGCATTAAATCTCTGTTTGCACTGATATGCCGCAAACACACGGTCTCTCCTCTCCAGTGATAGGGGTCCACCGCCCAGTCTCTATAGTCAGGCTGTGTGATGTAGTGCGGAGCATGTGAATGTTAGCCTCTTATACTCCGGGATATCGATTGCTTGTAAACACCATGAGTTGACAAACTACATGTAAGCAGTAAATTTGGATCCAGTTTTTAATGAAATGTTTCCTTTATTTCCATACACCACTCTATCTCTGCAGATTTCAATAAACTTGTTATATATTTGAAGGCTTTTGGCTTACTAGTGACACAGAGGTTTCACACGAAATTAAAAGAGTCATCTGTTAACCTGCTCCTCTTAGACATAATATAAAGCAAACCAGAGGAGACAGAATTATACCGGAAGTGACGTCTAGTGGTGTGAGACGTGAAGCTGATTTGTCATTTTTAGCTGGAGATAAACGGGCTCAGAAAAAAAAAACAGTTTTCCCAATAACACGATAAGATGACATTTTTTCTTTTAGCATTTTGGGCAAAGAATACTTGTAGAAATAATAGCAACATGGCATGAAAACGTGTTATGAAACTTAAAGTTGCAAAACCGTGTTTAATTTGCAGTCAATTTGTTTTGAAATATATGTTGCATCGAGCGACGCAACAAAGAGCGTCAAGGGAAAAGAATTTCCGCGAGGCTGCAAATCGTTTTCTTGTGCAATTTTTGCTACATGTAATCTAATATGCCCATATCTAATTGTTTTATGGTATTTTCTGCAATTATAACGATGTTTTAGAGTCTTTAAAGAACCTTGTGAAAACCAGAAAGTACTGATTTACATGTATTACATGTATTTTATTATTCAACTATTCAATTCAATTCGATTCAGTTCAATTTATTCCTGTGCTGTTACATAAATAAAAAAAAAAATTACAGAAAATGCCATAATACGCCCAAAATTAATTAGATACGGGCATATCAGATTACATACATACATACATACACTGCACATGGCAACGATTTACACCCTCGCGGGAATTCTTTTCCCTTGACGCTCTTTGTCGCGCTGTCATTTGATGCAGCATATATTTCGAAATATATTGATGGCAAATCCCTCAAAGGCCCAGTGGGTCACCCGTGACCCACACGTTTGACACGTCCCCACCCACACAACACAAAATGAATCCACTTCATTTTGCCATTTCCTATTCCTTATGTACTAGTGTATCCTTGTTGACCAATTAGAAACTAGGTCATTATCCTTCACTTCACTCAAATATGTCTTCCTCCATAAGAAGGCGCTAATGCTATTGTGTAGTGGGTTTGTATGTGTCTGTATTGTCATGTCAAGGTAAACAATAAATTTCAATATTCTGGCTTTTCATTCTAAATACAATAGTCTTAAACCACACAGAAGTGTTTTATAAAGTTGTTAGCTACACTTCCATGTTTGAATTTATTTTTTAATGTTGTTATTGTAATAAAAAGAGGTTTTTGATTTTTTGAAACTTGGTCATTTGTTTACCTCTAAAGCCCAGTGGGTCACCGGTGGAACATAGCCAAAAACTAGGTCAATGTTGCCCAAAATATTTTTTCAACATATATTGACAAATGTGCTTATTACAACCCTATTACCTAGGTACTAAAATTTTCATGCAATAAAAACACGTCTTGGGCCTTTAAGGGTTTAAGCACGGTGTTGCACCAACAGGTTTTGTAACACGTTTTCATATCATATACCCATTATTTCTACAAGTATTCTCTGCCCAAAATGCCAAAAGAAAAAGTGTTATCTTACCGTGTTGGAAAAAACTGCTTTTTCCTCTGAGCCCACGTCTTCACTCCCATATTTACCTCCAGCTAAAAATGACCACCTAAACTACACGCCTTACACCACTAGACGTCATTTCGGCATATTCCTGTCTCCTCCGGTTCCCTTTATTGTACCCTCCAGCAGGGCCTCATATTCATTTTTCAATAGATATATACAGATATGTCTCTGGTTAAATAGATGGGTACTATCTGTACTCGTCTCAGAAAAAATGTCCAAAGGATAATAATTGCGGCCCTGGTGGAGAGTATGATAATTTCGCCTTTTGTACTGCTCTAACACGGAACCTTAACATTGGCAAACCTGCCTCCATTAAACAAACCAGGTTTAAGTGTGTAAGCAATGGACAAACCTTCTGTGTTTACATTCTGTTCGACATTCTTCTTGACTGTTAAAATGTTCTTAAGGTTGATGCTGACTGGCGAAAGCCAGTTAACAAGAATAAATTTGACCAATCCGAATGATCTTTTGTGGCTCTACCATGTCATTATATTCAATATCTGGTTAAATTGAAGGTTGACGTGCTTGTATGCAGGAATACAGACAAATGTAAATGAGGAACACCACCTCATTCAGTTGTGAGCTTTAGAAACAATACTTTGTGTATCAAGTTGCGACCAAAAGATGGATACTTAGTTTTCAGTCCAAATTAGAACACCCACGGACGTAGACAGCTACGTTACGTCATTAGGTCCAGGACTCGAAGCTTTGTCGGGAACTATTACTTACTTTAAAACGCAACCAATTTAGCTTACTATAACATGGTTAAAAATCTCTATAAAAACATGCCAAACTCACACGTGTTCTTGTTTTAAAATCCCGACGAAAATCTAAGTGACCTGGATTAATTGTTGGTTTGGGCATCCTTACAACTACGTTACAAGCACAAGTCAACCACCGAACAGTTGTTGTTTAGGTCTTGACTTAGTTGCCTAAACAGGTAAACATGAATGGACAAAATAACCAGATAGGGAATCATCAATATATATATGCTCCTTGTAGATGGAATTTGATTATGTGTGATGTGTACTAAATTTCACTTAATTCCCTGTATACGAATAAAGAGAAAATAGATTAGCCTATTAGAAATTACAACATAAAAGCTTAATGTCATCATTCTAATACAGGGAACGTGATATATAAACTATTTAATACACGTCACACATTTGCCAAATATGATATACATGTGTTCAGAAGAGTCCTTAGTTGCATGCATCAAACCGATGTACATCTGGAAGATAGATAAAAAAAGAACTATTAACATTATGCTTTGCATTACACGATCTATCATCATTTCATGTAGTGTCTAAAACATATTACGAAATGTTATTGTTTGCTTTGTAAACACTTCAACATAAAATATAACGAGTGGTTTGGTTGAAACTTTTCATGCTGCTATCAGAAAGCAACCTAAATTAATATAAAGGCAGTACCTGATTTCCGTTAATTCATTCTCTTCATCACGTATCTCGATCCTTTCTAAAAACAATGAGTGGTTAATTTAATGAAAATGTAGAAAACAAGAAAGTTTAAAAACAATCAATGTCGAAATAGCATTGAGCAAATTGCAACTTGAGCGAAAACATAAGATATGAGCAACTCTGTTTCCTTAGAATCAGAAGTGAACTATATGCAGTACACACTTGTAACCTAAACATAAGAAATCGGCCTTTTTGCGGTAACTTATGAATTAAAACACGAAAACGAAAAATGTTCATCCAAGTATTTGGAAATGTTACAACAAACACACTGGGTCTTTTTTTGGTGGGAAATATAATGTCTTCTTCTCTACACTAAATATTATGAAAATTATACCCACCTGTTCGTTGGCCAGAGAGAAGATTCTCCGTGTTTCCCTCTGCTGTGTTACTCCGGTTTTGACCTGAGCCTGTCTCTTGTGTGGGGTAACGGAGAGACTTGCATTTATCTCTCAAGAAACGAATTACACCTGAAACGTAACGGAGATACATCAAGACAAAATATCTTTGTTGACTCATTTAACGGTATCCTATCAGGGGTATCCTAGCAAATTCCCATCGAAAAAGGCACTTTTCTCATTGTTCGTATTGCGTATGCCCTAAAACTAAGTTTCGATGTTTATACCATTTTAACTAGCAAAGGCACCAAGAGAGTGCAGACTTCCCCCACAAAGCAACACAATTCTCATTTTAATTTAATAATTAGTTAACTCAATTCTCTTTTTATTTATCAATTATTGATTAACTCATGAATTAGCTTGATACCTGTTAAATAATTAACTAATTAAATAACGAACAATATATTATACTAATTAATAAACGAAGCACTAAATAAACACCTAATATAGACCACTTCCACCCTTAGCAAACGATTTCATCAAAAACCCTCCAGGACGTTTTACATCATGTTGCTAACAGACAGACAGACAAATAGCTGACTAACGATGTACCATTTGTTAATATGTACATGAATCACAACCTAATTTTTATCACTTTTAAGTTAGCCTGTCTGTGACCTATCCAGCAGATGCCATCAAAATCTACACATGACGTCTTAAGTTAGGCTAATGACAAACAAACAGACATAATTAAGTTAAAAATAACAAGAAAATCACTTTGACCGGTTTCATGTACTGAAAAAGTATCGACATCATATATACTTCTATTTGATGGGTTTTATTGTTCTTAAGGTCTGAAGTTTCATCTTAATCGCCGTGTTGATCTTTTATAAAAGATATATATATAAAAGTTCCGTTGAAAACTCATAACATTAAAAAATTCTTCAAAATGAATTTACAGCACATAAATGCATAGAATATATGCTTTGATATTATAACAGTTATTTGAAATTCAAATAGTGACAATACGATACCTTTCTTGCGGAGCAGACAGATAATAACGGCAAATAACACCGCTACAAATACTGCCACCACCGATGCAACAATATACCAGATGGTATTTGCGTCTTCTTTACTATCATTGGAAGAACGAAAGTTCTTTACTTGCGGTGCGCTGGTTCCTTCACCTTTATGAAATACTGAAATATATTAAGTGTAGTGTAACATTTCACATTGTGAATTTGTTTCATTGCACCAACAGCGTATTTATTTTTCACCAATTGTCTGCAGTATGTAGTAAAAAGTGCCCGTCTACATTTCTTTTGTTTCTTGGTCGACTGCCTTAAAAACAGGTCCTCAGTCTGTTTCTGTTTTAGTGAAAAGTACCCAGAAAACGCACGGCATTGCTACCGCAGGTATATACATATAAAGTCACAGCAACCCCATGCTACCCTCTACCAGGGCGACTGATAGATTTTTTTACAGATATTCACAGATATGTCTCTAGATAGATATGTAGATGGTCATTTTGGTCACAATTACCAGCCATGTAATCATTCTTGAGATTTCTCAACAGGGTGACTTAGAACCAAAATGACCATCTATCTATCTATCTAGAGACGTATCTGTGAATATCTGTAAAAAATCCATCAGTCGCCCTGGTAGAGGGTAATCCCATGCTGGGGTTTGAAAGTGTGGCAGGAACGGTAGTCCGCAAGGAACCATAGTCCGCTCCTCATAACTTTGTACAGGTGACACTCGTCCTATATAACAACCCCAATACTCCCGACAAACCCAAGCCTGTACTTATCATATGGGAGCTCGGACCTCCACTCCTAGGACTTCCATTCCTGATCGGGTATTGATTTTACCTGCCGTTGTGGAAACATTCGCTGCTTTAAAATAAGTTTTAGATGGACACAAAGTAGGATATCCTGGATCAAAACATCCCGATGGTAAGTCCCCTTGAAAGAGTTGGTGGCATTCGTTTTCGTTGCTGAAGTTTCTATTGCTGTTTCCCAAAACACAACAGAAGTCACAGCGTTCGCATCTGTAACAAAACGGAAAAACATTCAAATATGTACGTGTAAATACAACTTCAAAACGCTGGATTTTAAGACCCTGGTTAAAGGTTAAAGAACACATTTTTATTTTCATACATCTGAACGTTGTTGGAGGAGCCACTGTGAAGAGGGCAGAGTATTCTAATTTTAATGCTAAGTAAAGGTAGATTCCACGTTATTTTGCACATCTGTGGTTTTGGTATTGTCAACTTCACCGATAAGACCTCATTAATAGACAACCATTGTGTATTTAACGTAGGTATGTTAAGCGTTTGACATTTGTTTTGTATTTTGAGACTGACGTCGAGTCCTAGTCGTTCGACTATGTACAGGGAGAGACCTATGTCTTACCTTCCAGTGTCTGGGTTGTAGGCATAAAAAGCCCTGTCACATGAAACACCTGCAGCTTGTGTAATACGCAGAATTCCTAAAAAGAACTATAGAAACAAGAAAATAACATAAATGTCGTCTTTTTTATATGATGCATAAAGATGGGAATGAAACATCATATTTGATATGCCTTGAAAATACGATTTTGCTCCTAGTTGTAATAATCCTTATACGTAACAACACAAGTGACCAGCCATCAAAATATATAAACCCATGTAAAGGTACATGTACTTCTTGAATGGGGGTCGTGGTCTTCGTACTGAACAGCACTGCTTGGAGTCAACTTGACATTAAAAGCAAGATATTGTCTGGGCACACCAATCTATCATATTGATTGGGTATTGCTTTAATATTATGCGAATTTCCCTATAATTTCGCAGATTCATAAAGCGCGCCCGTTTTTCAATCAATATTGCGCGTTGAACCGTATGACCTAGCTACCTGCTATATTTATTATGCCAAAAAGTCAAGTCTCCCAGGGTGCGGTGATATACACTCTTATCAAGAGTACCGTACCGACTGCGGTAACGGGCAGCGATGTTACCCTCACCTGGGCATACAGGTAGGAAATCTGCACATACAGTGTATTTCCATATTTGTGGTTTTGGCACTGACGCTGACAACCCGTCAATCGATAAGTTTGATAGCGTTTTCTGTTTGTGACCTCGAATAAGACAAACCAAAAGGCTGTCTTGTTTTGTGCGGGCTCCATAGGACTATTTTGCATGTTGCACCAAAAAGTTGAAGGAACATATGCAGCTGACGAAAGGGGACGTATATCATGGGGCAAATAACACAACCTTAAAACATATCTAGCATGGGTGCAATGTCACTGGTGTAAGCGGGCATTGTTTTTTCAACTCTGTATTTACAACCAACATATAACTCAGGTAGTATTGGTTTCTGTTTACAGAGTTAAGAAAACAAGGTTGACCCACTTTTTTCAGGGCTGTCGATAAGGAATGACGACAGGCGTGTTTGTTAAAAAGGTCAGAGTACCTCTTTGTCGTGCTGAATTCTTTATTGCGTTTTGGAGTTTTAGAGTATTTTTTTGTTGAAAAGATGGACGTTTACAGAGAAAAGGGGTAGACAGTTTGTTCGCAAATTACGATATGGAAAACACCGAATATCCACGTGCGCATGCTGATGTACTCGCTATTTTAAACAAATTCAATATACACATATGGAGTAATATATTATCTCACAGATGCTGGGAGTACTGATGGAAAGTAAAAAAAAATACATTTAAGTAAATTAATCGGCACAATTAAGACACTACTTGTGCATGAAGCACTCATAAGAAACTATAATGGCACCACCTGAATCCTACCCTGTAACTGATATATTGAAATAAAGTAAGCATTTGTATTCATATTATATCTGGCATCTACTCACCATAAATGGTACATGTTCAGCTATTTTAACTATGAATTCCGCATTAACTGTGACATGCATTCTTACACACGGCTGTTTCACGATCAGGGGTACAAAATAGGGGTCTCATTGAGAGAAAAATGAACTCTGATGCATTTGTCTAATTTTGTAACAGATAAAAAGAATAACATCTTAACTATGATATCTTAAATGTTTAGAGCACAAGATTAATTACTTTTTGTGCTACGCTTAAATTAACAGAACGCCCCTTAGACTATGATCTGGGGGTACGGGCACTACACATTCAAGTAACTGATGCTTTTGTAACTGAAATATCATATTGTTTACCAGTTATTTTTGCCAAAAGTCTAAAAAATGTCAAACTAAAGATATAACAGCAGTACTTTAACCAAAAGGATACAAGTGCATGTATTAATCAAAGAGTTTTTTAGAGAAACACCACAGCACGTTTTTCAGTGGATGCTGGAGCTTGGTTGTGTGTCAATCAGTGTGACTTTCATTCACCAGACTTTAATTTTTTTAACTTTTCTTTCTGTTGCTTGACTTTTTTTATCTATTCATTTTTTTTTCAGTCTTGATTCCTGTCTTTGGAGTCTTTTCTCCTTTTTCATCTCTCGTTAATTTGCACCTCTTGTTCTACTGTTTTCAGGATTGTTGGGTTTCTGCTTCTCCTCAACTCTCTGTCAGTATGCCCTAATTTCTTCTCTTTACTTTAGTCTTTCTTGCTGGGCCAGCCTAGGATGATTCTTCTTCTTTTTTTTGCTCCTATGCTATGTTACGTGCATTCAACGTCTTCCTTACGTGCTTCAGCAAGATTATTAGCATCTTTACGGATATTAGCTCTTTGAAGTCATTTTTTTTTCAAAATTATTTTTTGCTGACAGTAAAATATTCAGGATCATTTTTTCTTTCCCTGTTTGGCTTTTCGTTTATTGTCATCCATATCTGATACTTCATTCACTGAGAGTATAATAAATGTACTGTAAATTATTCATGTATTGAAGTGTTCGTACCCCCTCAAAATATATCATATACATAAATCCATAGAATATTAATACATAAACAACCTATTATTTTGCAATTAGCTATATTTGGCAATATACTCAAACCAATATTGTTCATTTTGAATGCAAAGAGTAGCATCTTTACTGATATTATTTCTTTGCAAAATATCTTTCCTGACTCTAATTATCAGTATCACTTTATCGAATATATATCTATATACAGTGTTTTTTCTAAACATCATAAGACAAGAATGCATTTTATATAGTCTAAAACATTATT